TGGCTCCAGATAATGTGTTTCCGTTTACTCAGTGGTCCCAAGACCCGAAACTATAATTAATCTTTGTAGGTAACTAATCAGCTCAATCTAGCTTCTGTAACAAACTGGTTTTTATTTTTTTTTGCAAACCAGGTTCCTCATTCCAAACCCCAAGATGTAATCAATACCTTTGTGATTTTTGCCTTCATAAATCTGGTGTTGGGGCTATGTAACCACTACGAGATTTGAGAGAGCAAAATGCCCCCTTGTAGTCCTGGATTTGAAATAAATGTGACTCCTTAATTTGACTTCTTCAGGCGTCCTTGTGTGATTCGCAGGGTACGTTAACAGTATGTAAGGTCCAGAGTTCTCTCCCTGTGTGGCTATAGCCAAGCTTAGGAGCTCTAGGTTTGATTTTATTAAGGCAGCCAGTGGTCTTCACTAAGGGAGGACAAAGGGAATATGGATACAAAGCTGCATAAAATGTGTGTGATATATGTGTGTATGTGTGTGTGGGTGTGCACACTTGAACATATATGTGTTGTGGGAATAATGGTGATAGTCTCATATTTGGCCCTTAAGTGTACCATGCTCTAAAACTGTGAAATATTATTATATGGCTCATATAAGAAAAATTGTAACAAAAAACATTCTTAGATATCTCCCCTTATGCACATGAAGGTTTGCTTTATATATGTAGGTACTCCTATATTGAGTGCATAAATGTTTATAAAAGTTCTATCTAACCTCTTGCTGAATTGCTCCCTTTATCATTATGTAGTGTTATTCTTTATCTATTATTATTGTTTTTATTTTAAAGTCTATTTTGTCTGATATAAGTACTGCTCCCCCATTTTTGTTGTTCTTTGTTTCCATTTGAATATCCTTTTCCATCCTTTTACTTTCAGTCTGTATTTTTTTTTTCATTCTGAGGTGTGACTCTTGTAGACAAGATATATATGGATCTTATTTCTTATCGTTTCAACGTCTTTTGATTGAACCATTTAAGTGATTTACATTTAAATTGATTATTTTAGGTATGTATTTATTGCCATTCTATTCTTTAAAACTATGTTCCTCTCTCTCTCCCTTATTTTCTGTCTTCTCCCCACCCCACTTCATAAAGAGAATCCTTTAACATTTCTTGTAAAACTGGTTTGGTGGTAATGAACTACTTTAGCTTTTTTGTGTATGGGAAGCTCTCTATTTCATCTTCAATTTGAATGATAGCCTTGTTGAGTAGAGTAGTCTTGGTGGTAGGTTCTTTGTTTTTCATCACTTTGAATATTTCATGCCAATCCCTTCTGGCCTGAAATGTTTCTGTGGAGAAATAAGCTGATAGTATTCTGCGAGCTCCCTTTTGAGTGACTAACACTTTCTCTTGCTGTCTTTAAAATTCTTTCTTTGTTTTTCACCTTTAACATTTTAATTATGATGTCTTGGTATGGGCCTCTTTAGGTTCATCTTGTTTAGGACTCTGCACTTCTTGGAACTGTGTATACTTTACTTTCACCAGGTTAGGGGAGTTTCAGCATTACTTCTTCAAATATGTTCTAGATCAGCCATGGGCAAAATACGGCCCACAGGCCAGATCCAGCCGGTTTGAACTGAATAAAACTAAAAAAAAAAAAAAAAAAAAAAAAAAGACCGTACCCTTTTATGTAATGATGTTTACTTTGAATTTACATTAGTTCACACAAACACTCCATCCATGCTTTTGTTCCGGCCCTCCGGTCCAGTTTAAGAGCCCATTGTGGCCCTCGAGTCAAAAAGTTTGCCATCCCTGTTCTAGATTCCTTGCTCATTCTCTTCTGCTGGTACTCCTAAGATGCAGATGTTGTTACACTTCATATTGTTCCAGAGGTTCCTTAGACTATCCTCATTGTTAAAAATTATTTACTCTTTTTGTTGTTCTGATTTGGTGTTTTCTTCTACATTGTCTTCTGAATCTCTGATTTGGTCCTCTGCTCCATCCAGCTTGCTATTGATTCCTTATAGCGTATTTTTCAGTTGAGACTCCTTTTTATGATTTATATGTCTTTTTTTATGCTGTTGCAGTTCTCTATACGTTCCTTGAGCATCCTTATAACAACTGTTTTAAACTCTGTGTCTGGTAGCTTGCTTCCATTTCATTTAGGTTTTTTTCTAGTGCTGCTTTCTGTTCTTTCATTTGAGGCATGTTTCTTTTCCTCTCCATTTTGACTGCCTTTCTGTATTTGTTTCTGTATTAGGTGGCTCTGCTGTGCCTTGGTGTGGTGATCTTATGTAGTGGGTGTCTTGTGGGGCTCCGAGGCATAGTCTATCTAATAGCCTGGCCTCGGTGCTCCAAGAATGTCCCCTGTTTGGGATATGTGAACACTCCTATTATAGTTGAGCCTTAATTGCTGTTGGCCCATCCATGGGTGGGGTTGCCCTTCTGCTGCCAATGAGGATCAACCCTGAGATCAATATGTGAGTTGCTGTGTGGGGACTGGCTCCATAAAGCTGAATTTTCCTCAACAGGATCTGGTGTCTGTTGAGATCTACCTTTGTGTGCGCTACTTGAGGATGCAATTGGGTTGTGCTCTGATGTAGTCTGAAACCCTGGTTGTGTTGGTTCTGGGGCCCATTGGTTCAGGCTTTCCCATGCTGTTCAGTGTCAAGTACTACCAGTAATGGGCCCTGGCCTACTTGTTTGGAGATACAAAGTGATCTGCAGTTTGTGGCTGTCTCTGCTGGTCCTGAGTGTTTGTGGTGGGGGCCCAGCTATACACGAAGGCCAGTTTTCACCAGCCCCAAGCCTAGGGGCAGGTCAGCAAAAGGGCCAAAGCTCCTCAAATATTCCCTTGTTAGTTGTCTGTTAAGCTAAGTTACTTATAGAGCCTCTGGCAGGACATAATTTTCTTGAGGGAATCTCTCAGTGAGTAATCAGGTAGGGGTGAATGATGTTCACCAGATTGATACAGATTCAAAATTCGTGTCCATTCTGAGTTTGAGGCCACTTAGCTACAGTCTCAGGGTACACCAAGATCAGCCACCCGCTTCTTTGTGCCTGTGGACCTTTGTAGTGGGACCAGGTCTCAGGGTGAGGCCAGCAGTGTTTATCAGGGACACACCAATCAAGGTTTGGCCATGTAAAGGGAGGGCTCTGTACAGTAATGACACTGGTTTGGAGTGCACAGAAAAGAATGTGCCTCCCAAGAACCAACAACTCAGTTTTTTCCAGAGTCCGCCCAGACCTCTTGAATAGTCTTCTGCACTGGGAAACCCTACTGGCAAAACTGAGTGGTTCAAGTTCAGCCAGGCATGTTTACCAGGACTCATAAGGGTAAAGCTATTGGTTCTCCCATGATGGGGTTAGTGGGTCCCCCATGGGGGGTTCTGACACCACTACTCTGTTTGCAATGATGGATGAAGGCCACTCTAGCAGGCAGGTGACTGTGCTGCTATTGTCATATAGGGCAGGGCTGCCGATAGGCTGAGCTACTATATTTATAGGCTGGGTTCTCCTGGCCTTGCAGTGGGCAGGGAGGGTAAATGGTCTCTTCCCCAGAGTCACACAGCTCTGCCTCTGATTCTCACTGGTTCGTTCTCAAGATCCCTTTAAGAGTCTATACCACAGACTCAGGCAGAAGACTCCTTCGCAGGAATAAGCTTTGGCACAGTGACAGGGGATCAGGATAGTGGAGTTTGTGTAGTACCCTTAGGTTACTGTAGATTGGGGAGCGTGGTGAGGGGTTGAGATCCCCACTCTCCTCAGGGGGAATCTTTATAGTTGACATATCCCTCTAGATACTCAGTTGCCACCCTGGGCAGTGGGGCAGCTGTCCTTATGCCTCAGCTTTGTCTACCAGCCTTGATGTGACTTCTGTAAATCCTTGGCTCTAAGGCTTCTGTTCGGCTTGGATTCAATTGGTTATTCTGGTTGATTATTTTATAATTTAGTTTTAATTCCAGTTTGGGGCTGAGAGAAGGCTAGTTCACCTTCCACCTCGTCCATCACCATCTTCATTCACCTGACCACAAACTTCTATCAAATAGGAAAATATAAATATTTATTAATAAATGATACAAGGACCATGCTTAATGCCTAATATTCTGTTCTTGTTGTCATTTTATGGAATCAAGGAAAGGGACTAAATGTTCTAACTTTTTTTCTCATATTTTGTGTTTGATCTGCCTTTATTCATAGCAATTTTCAAAATATAGGAGGTTAGGGAACAATATTTATTAATTTAGTAATTTCCTCAATTGTCATGTAACTATACTATTTTAAGCAGTCAAATAGAGAACACTAAAAAATAAGTTAATAGTTGACCATAGCTGGTGTGGGTCAATTGATTGGAGCATCATCCCATTGCACCATAGGGTCACGGGTTTCATTCCCATCAGGACACATACCCAGGTTGTAGTTTCAATCCTTGGTTGGGGTGCCTATAGGAGGCAACTGATCTGATTGATGTTTCTCTTTTACATGGATATTTCTTTCTCCCTCTCCCTTTACCTCTCTCTAAAATCAATAAAAATATCCGAAAGTGAGGTTTAAAAATAATTGTAAAATATTATGATCATCTACATGTCTACAAATATGATATTCTGGATGAAATAGCTCAACCCTTCAAAACACAGAGTTTGCCAAAACCCACACAAGAAGAATAAACTTATATCTATAAATGAAACTTAATTAACCACTAATAACTTTCCAAAGTAGAAAGCACCATGCCTAGATGGGTTCACTGTGAGTCCCATCAAATATTTGAGAAAATATACCAATTCTCTGCAATCTCAGCAGAAGGAGTAGTGCCTATCTCATTCTATGAAATCAGTGTTACTGTTATACCAAAACCAGAGACATTACAAGAAGACTACAGATCAACATCTCCCATAAACATATATGCAAAAATCACCAATTTGATTAGCCATTCAAATTTTAAAATGTATAAAAATATTACACACCATGACCAAGTGGGATTTATCCCAGGTATGCAAGGCTGATTTAACATTTGAAAATCAGCAAGTTTAATCCATCACATCAATAGGCTAGAGAAGAGAAATTACATGATTTATATCAATAAATACAGGAAAACAATTTTGAAAAAATCTAACAGCAATTCACGATAAAAATTATCAGCAACAAAGATTAGAGGAGAACTTTCTCAACTTCATAAAGAACATCTACAAAATACATACACCTAACATCATACTTAATGGAGAGAAATTTCAAGGTTTTCCACTAAGATTAAGAACAAGGCAAGGTTGTCCCTGTCACCACTGCTTTTCAACATCCTACTGGAAGTTCTGATTAATGAATTAATGAATTAAGGAAAAGGAGATAAAATATATACATTATAGGCAGAAAAAAAATAAATCCCTCTTTATTCTCAGATGACTTGGCTGTCTAGAAAATCTGGAATAATCAACAACAAAACTCCTAAAGATAAAATTGTAGCAAAAATGCAGGATACAGGATAATACGCAAAAGTTGATCATTTTCTTGTGTACCAGCTGAACAAGCAAAATTTGAAATTAAAAACACAATGCCATTTACATGAGTACCCCCCCCCACGCCAAAATAAAATAGGTATAAATCTAACAAAATATGTACAAAATCTATATGAGGAAAAACTATAAAACTCTGATAAAATATATCAATGAAGAACTAAATCAATAGTGAGATATTTCATTTTCATGTGTAGGATGACTGAAGATGCTAGTTCTTTCCAACTACATCTATAGATTCAATTCAATCCCAATTAAAATTCCAGCAAATTATTGCGTAGATAGTGATAAACTGATTTTAAGGTTTATCTAGAGAAGCACAAGACTCAGAATAGCTAACGTAAGACTGAAGGGCAAATCACAGGACTGGCACTCTCAGCTGCAAACTTGAGTATAAAGCTACAGTAATCAGGACTGTGTGGTTGGAATTGGTGAAAGAATAGACAAATAGATCAATGGGACATAATAAACAGCCCAGAAATAGACCCATAAAAATACAGTAAACTAATCTTTGACATGGGTGGGGGGCAATACAATGGAACAGAATAGTCTTTTTAGCAAATAGTGCTGGAATAACTGGGCACCCAAATGAAAAAAAAAAAAAAAAGAAAGAAAGAAAAAAAAAGAATTTGAACATAGACCTGACACAATCACAAAAATTACTCAAAATTACCGAAACCAGTTTGGCTCAGTGGATAGAGTGTCGGCCTGTGGACTGAAAGGTCCCAGGTTCGATTCCGGTCAAGGGCATGTACCTGGGTTGCGGGCACATCCCCAGTGGGGGATGTGCAGGAGGCGGCTGATCAATGTTTCTCTCTCATCGATGTTTCTGACTCTCTATCTCTCTTCCTTCCTCTCTGTGAAAAATCAATAAAATATACTTTAAAAAAATTACTCAAAATGGATCATAGACATAAATGTAAAATGTAAAACTAGAAAACTCCTAGAAGATAACACAGGGGAAAAAATCTGGATGACCTTGGGTATGGCAATGCCTCTTTAGATACAACTCTAATGGTACAATCTATGAAACAAAGAATTGACTTCATTAAAATTTAAAACTTCTGCTCTGAAAAAACATATGGTCAAGAAAATGAGAAGATAAGCCAAAGACTGGGAGAAAATATTTGCGAAAGACATATATGATAAAGGACCACTATGCAAAATATATAAAGGACTCTTAAAATTCAACAATA